ACAATACAAGCCTCAACTGAATTGACCAGCCCAAAATAGATCCAAAACAGGTCAAAATGATGGCTAAAACATGCTGAGATTAAGGTATAAAATGCTAGAAAACATGCTCACATGTTAAGCTATCTAGGCTTGCAAACAAGGCACAAGGAGGGGAGGCTACCCCCTCCAATTTTGGACTTCAAAACCAAATTTTTACCACAAAAATAACTCTGAATTTCAGTGGTTTAAAGAGCCAAAAGGTTTGATATGAATATGCTAAAAGATGGTACAAAAGCTTACACAATAAAGCAACAAGAAGGGTGGACTACCCCTTTACACAAAATGACCTCAAACCATCATGTTAAGGCTAAAAATCAGAGTTTTTTTGTAGTTGAAAACCAGCTCAAAAAGAGTATAAAAGGATGGTAAAACAAGTAGCCCAAACAACGCCTACAGGTAAGTCTTATACCTCTTGAAGCACAGCACAAAACAACCATAATTTCAGGCTCAAAACTTCTTCCAAAAGCTCAAACTAGGCTCCAAGGTGGTCAAGTTTGGTTAAGGGTTCGTATGCAAAGGTGTAGAGAAAACTAACTATCAAGCACAAAACAAGAAGAGAGAGAGAGAGAGAGAGAGAGAATTCTAGAGAGAGAAAGAGAGAGAAAATTTTGATCCAAAATGTTTAAACCCTCAAAATGGGGGAGGGCACCCCTTATATATAGAAAATCAAGATTAAAGCTTGTATTCATCCCTCCATATGCATGTATAGAGATGCACTTCAGTGAACAACAGCTGGCACAACTAGCAAACCAATATCTGAAAATGAGAAAAATGGCCGCCGGCCATCACTAGTGGCCAACCAGCCATCAATGTGGCCGACCGGCCACCACTGATGGCCGACAGGCACAAACCATGGCCAATGGACTGTGGGGATGGCCGATAGGCCACCCTCTTCTCCAGACTTGAAACCACAAGCTCTTGGTCCACAACCAATCCCAAAACAAACAAGTTTAGAGGCTCAAACGCAAGGTGCTCGGCCGAGACCTCCAGGCACTCAAAACGAACACGAGCGTACAAAATCGATTTCGAAGCTCCACCGCTTGTTCATTCTTAGATCGAGGTAGCGAGTACCAACGAAGGTGAGCTCCACTGTCTCTCTTTCTCTCTCTCTCTCTTTCTCTCTCTCTCTCTCAATCCTCTATAAACCCTTATTAGAGCGATTGAGAGATTCATCCGAATGATTTCATCCCAGAGATTTAGAGCGATTTCATCTCAGTGAGAAAATGGATCATGAAAATCAATTTATCATTACTCGTTAACGGTAGATCTATCGAACATATAAGTTGTTAAGCTTCAATAAGATAGATCTATCATTTTTATCATATACACACACACACACACAGATCATGAAATCTATGGGTTTGATTCTTCATCTTCTTCATATTTTTTATTTTTATTTTTTTTGCCGATTTGAGATTTGAAGCTTCGTTCGCAACAGATCTATCATCTCCTTCAATTTTTTTTTTCTTTTTTTTTTTTTGTAGATGTGGTGCATCTCTCACTCTCTCTGCCTCATATGTATGTGTATCTATAGATCTGCGAAGAAAACAGTGATTTATTCTCGTTTTTGTTTGAATTATCAATTTTATTTGAAAGGCAAGGTTGGTTTTCTGTAACGCCCTCAAAATAATACAAATAACTGAACTCATAAGTGAAATGAATATAACATAATTGATATCCTTTCTCATAATAGAATTCATATTACAAAAGGGGTTACATGTATTATACATTCATAAACGTTCATTCAGAATCTACAACATGTAATGCAAATTAATAACAACAAATTAAATGCCCTACGGCTTACATTTTTCTACGACATATCTTGGTTACAATCAAAAGTGAGCTTCGCTCATTACATCTTAAGCCTTTGGCTTTACAAAAATATACAATCAAAATGGGAAGACCTTGCTTCTAAAAGTTTCTCCAACGCTATTGCCTTAGTGGAGGCATGCCATCACTACCTGAAGATGTTATTCCTAAGTAGGGTGAGCTACAGCCCAGTAGAGCCCATCTAACATAGTATACGATATTTAGCAAAGGTATAAGTACACTATGCATATACAACGTCAAGGATAACGGCATTCACGTTATGTATAGTCTTAAATTACCAAACTCAATCATTAAGCCATTTCCCTTCATTTCATTCAATTACATAAGCTAATTTCATCGTCTCTCAACAACCCAAATGAGATTACAACTCGTTAGTTCTGGAACCACATTATCAATATGTAAGTACTTCAAACTTTTCTTTCACGGATATTTCCTCTGCGGGCAGCCGTCAAATGGGACCCATGTATTCTTTTATGGATATTTCGTCCACAGGCAGCCGTCAAACGGGACCCATGTAAATGTAGGCTATACAAGCACTACAATTGTCATTTTATGGATATTTCGTCCGTGGGCTAGGCACCCATGTATAATTTTGGGACTTTCACCCAGGACACTCCGGCCAACTTAATTATATTGGAGTCCATCTCCTTTCTCCTCCCAAACAATCATTTATACATATGCAATGTATTTAATCACAAACTCAAACAATGGGGTACATTCTCTTTCCACTCCCAAGTAACCATACATATACAATGTATATAAATATAGTCATATTCAATGACAAGCACAAGTGATTAGTTTCAATTCACCTAATCCGCATACAATTTCTACAACAATCATAGTTATCCTCCACCGATAGCCCAATAGGGTTATTTCTAAATAGATATAAAAAAATTTCATAACAGATAGTTTATTCGAAACTACCAAGGAATGGAATAATACATAATCAATCCCATCATTCATATCAATACCCTTTCAATTTCACATTTATAATGTCAATTTCCATTATTCATACAAAATAATAATTTGATTCAATTAGGGCAAATTCCCTTTTTCCCCAAATATTAGCCAAGTGCCAAAATCATGAAATCATACACAATACAACATCATTTTCAAACCCCTCAAGCATTTATTTCACCTTTACCCAAAAACCCCTCTTTCCATTCTGTGCCCAGACTCTAGGTTTGCCTTAAACACCCCAAAATCGCATCATTGTTACACAAGATACAAATAACTAAGCTAAATATCATATAGAAGTGTAGAAAAGATCCCTACCTCAAGCTTAGATGAGAGAGAAGAGAGAAAAGCTCAAAAATCGACGGGGACGAAACAACGATTTGCCTAGTTCAAAACGTTGCCCTTGACAAACTCTACACTTAATCTCAAAGGAGCAAGGTGAAAAGATCACTATAGGTGAGTAGATCTAGAGATTTAAGTGAAAAAGTTTGAGTTTTAGAGAGAGAGAAGAGAACTCACGGTTTGAAAGGAAGAAGGGGAGGAGAAATAATGAGAAAAAATGGTTTGGGCCTATTTATAGTAGTAGCAAATAGCCCTAAGGCCAAATAAAATAATAGGACCAAAAACCCCTAAAGGTAGGGCCCAATCGAACCCCAAAAATTTGAAAAAAAAAAACACGCAAGGGTCGACCCTCCGAGCAGAGGGGGTCGACCCTTGAGGTAGACAAGACAATCTGGCAACAAGCAAGGGGGTCGACCCTCAGACAAGAGGGGGTCGACCCTATTTTCCCGCAACTAACACACAGATTCTGCAACATAAGAGGGTCGACCCTTCCCAAACTAGTGTCGACCCTATATTCCAGCAACACTTCCAGCAACTTCACCAACAGGTAAGGGTCGACCCTTAGGAAGGCCGGTGTCAACCCTAGAATAGAATTTCTAAGTCTCCAAGGAACTTTTGACAAGAACAAGTGCGAACAATCAAACCCAACAAGTTTAAATCGGATTATACTCCTCCAAAACCAACATACAACAACACCAAAGAGTTCCAAAATAAAAATTAAAGGATTCGAATACACTTTCCGAAAAGTTTTGAAGGATATAAGTGCTACATTTTCTATTTTGGTTGTTTTGTTTCTAGATCTGAACACAACTTCATTACTTTTCTGAGGTTTGTTTTTGTGTTCTTACTCTTGTTTTTTTACATCGATTACCGATGCGAATTTAGACTCAACAAAGTTCTACTTCTCTCAAAGATCACTGCTTGATTTTTTTACTAATTTTAAATGTTTCAAATTGATCTTATTGTTTCATCATCTTGTCTGATTCAGATGGCTTTGATGATGCTCTCTCTAGCCTCTACATCTACCTCAGCTTTAGCAATCTAATCGCAAGGTACCATTAACATCAATCCATTGGTTATTTTTGCAATTTTTTCAATTTTGTGTGATTTTATTTTCATTTGTCCTATGTTGGATGCTCAAAATGAAGTATAAAAAAAAAAATAAAAAAATCTATGAATTTAATTTTGTATTAGCTTTACTTCAGTGGAGTCCTTCTGCTCTATTGGATCACAATTGTGAAGCTTATCTAAAATTTTTAAGCATCACTTTTTTGTTTTTTTTCTTCTTCTTCTTCTTTCCTCAGCAAGAAAACTAGAACATTAAGGCTATGTTTGGGAACATGCAAAATTAGCCAAAATGGTAATCCACTCTCTTTAATTTTTTTGCACATCTTTCCATAAAAAATCAGAAAAAAATTCAATTTCCAAACGAATCCTAGGATGTATAGTAAATCATGACATTCTATTTGAACAGACAAAATTGGAGCTGGAAGGCTCTAATCGTGCTACTTTCTTGATGGAGAAAAGCAATCTCTTAACCTAGACTAAGGTAATTATGGACTCTTTCAGTTGATGTCAGTGTAAATTTAGTAAAGCCTTTCATTACATCTTAGCAGAGTGAAAGTTGCTTAATAAATCCAATTAAATTTATGTGTGTGTTTTAAAAGCAAGGACCATTGATCTCCATTGAGTATGAAATATCATCTAATTGGTTGGTAACTATGTCAAGTTGCAGAATAGAATTAGCTTCATTAATTTATTTGCCTATTTTCTTCATGGTTGAGTTAATGAAATTTTTTTCTCACTCATACTTCTATGTTTTGTTTAATTTTCTTAACAATTGTTGCTTATTATGAAAAGATTATTTTTAATAGGCCCGTAAGGATGCCACCCTTGTGGTTGCAAATCTGCAAAGGCAACAGGTTTATTCATGATTGCATCCCATTGTTGGCTAGCAGAGTTTATCCTTCGAATAATAAATGGTAATCATTTCGATTCTCTGTGAAAGCTCTAGTACTCATTCCAAGTTCTTGATTGTTTTTGGGTGAATTAAGTTCTTGATTGTTCTTTCACTGGAATCTATACTCTGTTTTCTGAATCTGTAACTCTGTCACATATGTATCTGATTTGATTGATTTCCGAATCTATCACCCTATCATATAGGTAGATAACTAAATTAGTTTTTTTATTTTTTTATTATTTTCTTCCAGGATGATAATAGGAAGTGGGTATGCACACTTCAGGATCTATTTGTTTTCTTTGCTGCATGTTAGTCAAATAATGTTTTCCATAAGCATCTTCACTTCCTAGTTACCAAATGCAAGATCTCTCTTGTCCGATTTTTGTCGAAGCTTTTCACTGAAGAAGGTTTTGATCATGGCATCCTCTTCAATTATTTGTTTTGTCGCATTTGTTTTGTTTCTTTTGTTATAAGCAACACTTTTGTCTAAATCCTTAAATTGACAGGGAATAGCACAATCTGGAGTAATTTTCTTGAGGAACTTCTGAGCTTAATGGTTCAACAAAAGAGGCTCATGCTATCAGACAGAAAAGTTTTGCCTTCATTTTTAACATCTTTGCTTGGCTCTTCGTGCCATAGCCTTTTAGTGCCTCAGACAATTGGACAAAGGTTTTCACCTTTTTGTTATGCTTAGTTTTCATCATATCATCATCATACTGTCATCTTCTTTCTCATAATAACCATCATTTCATTTTGTCCACTTTGTCGATATCCATAGAATAGGAAGATCATGAAGTCTATAGTTTAAAAAGAGAGTTGCTTCTGTTTCTTTAAGTAGGCCCTATGAGTTGTTGCTCTGTACACTGCACACACTGTAGTCTGCTTTATACTTGCTGTATACTGTACACACGGCACACACATACATTCTGCTTTACACTGACTGTACAGGCAACTTTTGGATCTTGTAAAAGTCAAAAGGATACGAAAAGGATACACCTTGTATGAATTGGAGTGCCACGCACGGAAGCCGCAGTCCGAGGTCAAAACGGAGGCCGGTTGAGCATCGGAGATGCTCTTTCTTGCACTTTCTTGAGCTATGAAGACCAAAAACTTCTCATATGGCCTAAACAAGGTTGTGGGAACACCATCGGCCAGAAGGGGAGGCCACCGGCTGTCCACCGGCTGAAAAATAACTCCATCGGCACAAAATAATGCCGACCGGCAAAAAGTTGCTGAGTCGGGGCAATTTCGAGATTTCACTTTGGGTGTTTTAAAATAGGGTTTCAAACCCTATTTGCTCACTTCTCCACCGCCGAAAACTCTCACCCTCTCTCTCTAGAGTGTTTTTCTCTCATTTTTCGCCCGTTTCTTCGCGTTCTACGCCCATTTCGTCGTCGGATTCGCGATTTCCTTCACGTTTCGGACATTTTCAACCGATCACATCTTTGTTTCGGTGCCTCGTTTGGCGTTCCCGTCTTTTCAGGGTTTGTTCCCCTTGCTTTCCTCTTCATTCCCATGTTTTTTCATATTCCGGCCTTTCCGGTCATTTCCGACCCTCTCGGGAGTTGACTTTTCGGTTGACTCTTCGCATTCCAGCCCGGTTTCCCTTCCTCCGGCCATTTTCACATCATTCCTGACATGGCGGACGACATTCCACGTGGCGGGACTCCCTCGGACCACGAGATGGATCCCGGGGTCGAGCTCCTACCGTTGAGCGAGCGCCCGTTCGTCCCGGCGATCTACGCAGGTAATGATATAATGCGGTCTACGCAAGCAAAACATGCGGTCTACGCAAGTAATGGATTTGAACAATGATGCGGTCTACGCAAGCAATACATGCAGTCTACGCAGGTAAAGAAATTGAATGATAAATATGCGGTCTACGCAAGTAAAACATGCGGTCTACGCAAGTAGTGAAATTGAACAATTAATATGCGGTCTATGCAAGCAATACATGCGGTCTACGCAGGTAAAGATATTGAAAGATAAATATGCGGTCTACACAAGTAAAGAAATTGATCAATTATGCGGTCTACGCAAGCAATACATGCGGTCTACGCGGGTAAAGAAATTGAACAATAAATATGCGGTCTACGTAAGTAAAGAAATTGATCAATTATGCGGTCTACGCAAGCAATACATGCGGTCTACGCAGGTAAAGAAATTGAACAATAAATATGTGGTCTACGCAAGTAAAGAAATTGATCAATTATGCGGTCTACGCAAGCAATACATGCGGTCTACACAGGTAAAGAAATTGAACAATAAATATGCGGTCTACGCAAGTAAAGAAATTAATTACAAACATGCGGTCTACGCAGGCAAAGATATTGAAAGATAAATATGCGGTCTACACAAGTAAAGAAATTGATCAATTATGCGGTCTACGCAAGCAATACATGCGGTCTACGCAGGTAAAGAAATTGAAAGATAAATA